CTATCAGCAGACCGGTTGCTGTCGAGCTGTGCTAATTTTGACTGGTTTTCGCACCACACTCACAAATATTCTTTCCGAATACGGCAAGATGAAGGCTTGGAGTTGGCGCCAGACAAGCCAATGTGCGTTTATTTTTAGCCAATGCAACATACACACTATTGATTTTCAGGTTGATCAGTTTTGTGGTTTCACTGTCGTCAAGAGCCTGATTATTCGCGATATCTGGTTCGTCCAGCGCATGCGTTTGAGTACGCGAAACAGATGACCTCTTTGCGACATGCTCACTAAACCTTTCGTAGGGTTTAGTTGGCGTTCGTCTCTTCCAATCTGATGCTCTAACCGACTCGAACATGCGCATGTGTGTGTGTGTGTGTGTGTGGATTTGAGTACTTTTGGGTCTTCACGTATCTGAATGTTTCGTGACTGTTTGAGAGGGAAAGAGAACCATTGTTTGCATTAATGGACGTGTCACGCCATTAGTTCTGTGTTCACATATATTTGTGTGTGTGTGTGTGTGTGTTTGGTCTCTAAGGATTTTTTCAGTTGAGTGGGCTTCTTTGTTACCGGCTACATGATGAGGCCAAAGGTATTGCAATCGGACGACCACTAAAAGCCCTTTGGTCAAATGCTTCCAAACGAACATTTCAGAGATTTCAGGCGTACATACAAACAGGGAGCAGTCTGCTCACTAGGACTTGGTCTGGTGGTCAAAGAAGCTGCTTTTAAGTCTTAAGCGAAGCCATAATTATTGTGACCGATGTTTGCATTTTGATCCACCAAGAAAAATAATTTGCGTTTACTTTTTCCACCAATGCCAGCTTTATACATACACAATTGTACACTCTATCTTCCTTCACTTTTGTTACTCACCCACAGGTAATTAGCAATTTTCCAGAATGCCTCCAAGCTGACATCTGCCTTCACATGAATAGAAAATTGCTCAAAGGCTGCAAAGCATTTCGAGGGGCAAGTGCAGGTAAGAATTAGTAGTCTCACATAAAATTGCTTAAAATATTTGTACTACTTAAATACAAATGTAAGTAGGCATAAGCAACTGATAATAAAATGCTTGGAATAGGCTGTTTACTGCAACTCCACTTCGTGAGGCCGATCGCCAGACGATACTTGGCTTTCGGAGTCGCTGATACCAAATTATATTTAAGAATTATACTTTAAGCGGAATATGCCAATTTCATCTTGAACCAGTTCTAGAATTGTGAATTATCCCGATTTAAGTTTTAATGCAATACTCTAATGGACGTGTATGCATAATTGTGCTCAATTTAGAATAATTGTTTTGCCAAATTCTAGCATTTTTTTACATTTTTCCAACTTTCAGGCTGCCTTCGCGCATTTTCCCTCAAGTTTCGAACCCTCCACGTCCCAGCCGGTGACACTCTCGTCCATCCAGGAGACATGCTAAACTCGATCTACTTCATCTCGCGCGGTACAATCGAGATCACGTTGATCGACGGAAAAGGTGTCCGACGCCATGGTCCTCTCGTAATGGCTGTGCTAGGCAAGTACACGTCTTCTATGCGCTTGGAAACATTTTGTCCTATTCCACGTTACTATCGACATAATCTGACTCTATAACAGATCCATTGATAAATTCAAGGCATAGATATGTCCAGAATAGATTTCTGCTGTTGTCAGGCCTCACTTTCTTCCATGACGACGCATACAGTATACATAATAAAATTGACTTTAACATGTTTCTTCCAACTTTACATGCCATTTATTGTAAAGCCTTGTTGTGGCAGGCACTTCTGGCTTATTTGCTATACCAACCGGTTTGAACATTGAGACCCAAAACCTGGGACACTCTCTTTTTGCTCATCAGTGAGCAGATTATAGACATTAGCAGTAGTATATAACTTCTATTCGTCATTTCATCAATTAACAATCGTTTGTCTAAACCTCTGCTTCATTCCACGCTTTCTTGAACCAGGAAAAGACGACATCTTCGGCGACTCCCCGGATAGTGCGTTAGCCGGAAATGTGAATCAATCACTGTATGCTGTACGTGCGCAAACCTACGTGACTTTAAAGAAGATCGACCTCATGGACATGCGGAGCATTTTGCAAATGTACCCGGAGTGGTCAGATCGGTTTTTGCAGAACTTCAATCTCACCTTCAACCTTTGCGACCGACGCAAAACTGTGAGCTTCTTGACCTTTGCCCCAATTGAGTTCACATTATTGGAGGTCTTGTCAGGGTTTAGGGCAAACAGGAGCAGAATGGATGGATGTATCTTGATACATTTACAATCACATGGCAACAGCTCCGAGTTGCGGCCTACCCTGTTCTGAGGGTGCCAGACGGGGAATTGCAAGAAGATTCCTCCGAAAACCAATTTCAGATGAGAAGTTTTTGCATGATCTATCGTATCATAACAAAAGTCTCACATGAATTCGTCCATTATCTACGTTCCGATTAGGTCCAGGAGTCAGGTGTACTGAGCTCCTGTTTGCTTGTTAGCCAAATCTTTACAAGAATGAAGACGGGTCTGTCTAGAGACGATATTGGAGTGCTCATTTTTACAATCAAAACTCACCGGCTTCTCCCTTAATCCAGAATGTATATGTCAAACTTCTGCATTTTGATGAGGCATAAAGATAGTTAAAATCATATATCAGTACATAAACATGTTCATGTGTCTGTTTAGGCGTGCGTATCTGCCTTAATAAATACGTGAATGTACTAAACCAGCAGTGATAGGTCAAAATAATTAGAACAGAATGAAGCGTCTGTCCTCGGTCGTCAAGGTTTAGGGCCTTTATTCGATTAAAACCCGACTCCGATTGAGTAATGTCGGACACAAATCTGATTATGGGGATGAGCATTGTTTTCTGTGTGAGTGAGAGAGAGAGTGCACTAAGACGCATAGAAAATGTGATCATAATTGGAACCTCCTTGATCCTTAACACTAACAACCAAGCATAAAGATTAATTACGCAACTTTTCACCTCTTTTCCTGATCTTCAATGTATCGTCAAATCTCTCATGTTGGGCTTAATAGCAGACATGTCATAATCAAAAAACACAACAAGTTTGGTACCATTCTATTGTGCCCTGTGTTTTGCTACCTCTTATCTTTGAACCCAGCCGGCCCAACAGGTATTTTTGTGCTCAGTCACCATTTATCGAATAGGACGATGAGTATTTTCTTCATGAAAGAGATCACAGCAACACAATGTTTTATAACAACCTGATCTGAAGGCGATGTCAGGACATAACAAAAGTCCTCTACTAAATCATCTCTTCCCAAGTATTTACAAGCCAAAAAAATGTTGGCACTTAATCCGATGTTATTTTTAGTCAGGCGTAAAAGATAATTATTCTCAAATAATATTTGTTTAAAACTATCCGGCCTATTACCGCAATGGTGTGTAACGGTTCACCGCATCAACATTCGCTTTGTAGCTTTCGTTAAAAAAGGAGTGAAATGTATAGACAGCCCAACTTTCTTCCTGCTCTGATACCTAAAACATCCAAAAATAGTAAACAATTATCCTTCTCAAAATCCATTTTTAATTTATTATGTGACTAACACTCTGGCTAATTAAGAACAACAA